GAGAGAAAAGGCCTGGAGATCGGCTCCCATAAAGACTACAGCCTAGGAAATCCTGTGGGGCAGCTCTACTCTGTCCTATAGAGTGTTATGAGTCAGAATCAACTCAATGGCACACAACAACTATTACAGCATCTTAGTTCATACCCAAATTGTTGCAGAAATTGGTACCAGAAGTGGGGTGCTATTTGTTTCATATCAAAATATGAGGCATCAGCTTAGCAGATATCTGGTAGGTAATAAGAAAGCAGATGCTGCTAACTGAAAAGAGTTATAAACTGGTGACCCTTGCTTGTCACAGTAAAACATTTAACAAATCTGTCATCTGAATAACCTGGAAGGCAGACCAGGACATACACCTACAGAACCTAGTGCTCTAAGAGAAGTAAATGGCAAGTGCCAGAATGGGATATTTCCATAATTTCAGGGTGTTCAACCAGACTTACTTGGTACCTAACATTGATATGGACCCCTGGTGGCACAGTGGTTAAGAGCTCAGCTACTATCTAAAAATTGGCAGTTTGAATCCACAAGCCACTCCTTGGAAACCCTATGGGGCAGTTCTACTCTGTCCTATAGGGTGACTATGAATCGGAATCAACTCAATAGGAACAGGTTTAGTTTATTGGTTTAACAACGATATGGGTTACTGTCACAAAGAAACTTTGAAACTAATTATATTCTTTGGCAAAAATCATAGGCTTCCTTACCTCATACAATAAAGATGTCAGTAACAGAGTACCTTAATAAATCTGCTCCAGATTAATTTCACTCCTCTCTCGATGATAATTAGAAGCACTAAAGAAAATCTCACATTTTAGAAACTCAGAAATAGAATATTTTATGTCTTAAAGCTTGGAAGAAAACAATTTTTCAATCTTATATATCTCAGTTGTCCAGTAAATCTTTTACTGTTTCACTTTAATGTTATGCATATCTAAAAATAATTAATAAAAGCAATCATTCAAATTTATTTCCTTGAGAACCACTGAACTGCTTCAATTGGAGATTTTTCATATTTTGCTTCACTTGTTCTCTCTCACTATCTTTTATTTCCAAATTTATCTAAGGATCTGTTAGAACTTTTATAACTGCATTCAAAGTCAAGTATGTGTTTCTTAAAACATTGGGAAAGAAGTCATTAGGCGCTATATATATGTATATATAAATATATATAAATACATAAATTCTCTATGATGTGGTAGTTATTTTTGTATTCCCTTGAGTCCTAAAAACATCTCAAATCGTGCTGCCAACTTAAAAACTCACAGTACTTAATTTCACCCACTCCTACCTACTGCAAAATGGAGACTAGAAGCATGAATAAAATTATAAAATTAAATGGGAGAAAACAAAGAGCCTAAAAAAGCACTAGGCAAAAACCTAAGAAATAAAATAGAAATGAAAACTTTATCTCAAATGTCAACTTCTCCTTGATATACAAACACCAAAAACTATCCAAGATATGCCTTCTGTCTACTTTTTCACCGGATACTTTTGTATCCTTCTGGTGTATTAGGAACGTATGTATTTTTCTCTTAGAAAATCCTTATGTCATCATATTCTTTATTTTCCTGCTATGATAAAAAAAAAAAAAAAGTTCACATGACAAATAAGGAGATCATATCCTAATATCAGCTTTACCACTAAGGTAACTGTCATGGATTGAATTGTGTCCCCCAAAAATGTGTGTATTAATATGTCTAGGCCATGATTCCCGCTATTATGTGATTTTCCACCATTTTGTCATGTGATGTGATTTTCCTATGTGTTGTAAGTTCTGCCTCTATGATGTTAATGAGGGGGGATGGGTGGCAGTTGTGTTGATGAGGCAGGACTCAATCTACTGAATTGGATTATGTCTTGAGCTGGTTTCTTTTGGGATATAAAAGAGACAAGTGAGCAGAAAGACAGTGAGACCTCATACCGCCAAGAAAGCAGTGGCAGGAGCTGAGCACGTCCTTCAGACTTGGGGTTCCTGCGTGGAGAAGCTCCTAGTCCAAGGAAAGATTAATGAGAAGGACCTTCCTCCAGAGCTGACAGAGAGAGAAAGCCTTCCCCTGGAGCTGATGCCCTGAATTTGAGCTTTTAGTATATGTTACTGTGAGGAAATAAATTTCTCTTTGTTAAAGCCATCCACTTGTGGTATTTCTGTTACAGCAGCACTAGACAACTAAGACAGTAACCCTATGTCCCACACTACCAAGTGTACCTGCTGTCCCAGTGTAAGTATCACTCTCAAAAGTGTCCCAAATTGGAGGATAAATTATAATGGACTATTACTAACTAGATGTGTGAACTTGCATCAGTCACCAAATTTCTACGGGACTCAGTTTCTTCTTTGCCAAATGTGAATAACCTACACTATAATTTGCCACTGTGATAACCATAGAGGATAACACGTGTGAAAGAACACGGAAAAGGAGAAGTTCTATATTGCTGTTAGTGCTGTTGAGTGGGCATGGTGACTTTATGTATAACAGAATGAAAAGTTGTCCAGTCCCATTGTCATCTTCATGACTGTTGGTATGTTTGAGTCCACTGTTGTGGCTATTATGTCAATCCATCTCATTTAGGGTTTCCCTTGTTTCTGCTGACCCTCTTCTTTACAAAACCAGATGTCCTTTTCTAGTGATTGGTCCACCCTAATAATGTGTCGAAAGCTTAGACAAGTTCTACATAAACCTAAGTTATTATTAATAAAAACACAAGAGGAACCCAAATGCATTCTAAGAAGGAGGGGTTGGCACTGTTCCTCTTTAGCTTGCTTTGCATAGTACCAAAGGTAGTGCACTATATACTAAAAGAAGTGACTGTAAATGTAGAAAGTCACTTAATTTTGTAGTGTCCCATTTCCTTATCTATAAAATAAAATGGATATACTAGATGATCCATAGCGTCCTTTCCAAGATTAGGAATGTTATGATCATAATCACTTTAGTCCATTCCCTTAAAATATCCTAGACATACCATTTATGCGGCATCTATCAAACTGGCTACACTCTGAATTCACAATTTTCTTGACCTCAATCACATTCACAAATCTAACTTAAAATCTTACTTGGTTGGGACAGCACATAGTTGATTAAAACTTGTTAATTATTTTCCCACTTTTTAAAATAAGAAAATTTCACATAAAAATTTCTATTTCTGACTTTTCTTGAAAAACTGGCATATCTAGCATCTTAGGGCAATAATCTACAAAAAAAATTTATAGAACCTAAATTTTATTCATTTAGGTACCTAACTCTTCTCTTCAATCACCAGTTTAGTTACTAAGATTCTTCAGAATCATGTATCTTAAATTAGGTCATCAAGCACATGCAGCTTCTACCTTGGTAGTAGCACCTGGGGTCTTAAAAGTCTGTGAGCTGACATCCAAGATACTCCACTGGTCTCACCCCTTCGGGAGCAAGGGAGAATGAAGAGAACAGGATACAAGGAAAAGATGAGTCCAAAAGGACTAATGGACCACAGCTACCAAGGCCTCCACCAGACTGAGTTCAGTACAGCTAGATGGTGCCCGGCTACCACCATTGACTGCTCTGACCGGGATCACAACAGAGAGTTCTGGACAGACCTGGAGAAGGATGTAGAATAAAATTCTAACACAAAAAAAAAAGACCAGATTTACTGGCCTGAAAGAGACTGGAGAAACCCCGAGAGTATGACCCCCAGACACCCTTTTAGCCCAGTGGTGAAGTCACTCCTGAGGCTCACCGTTCAGCCAAGGATTGGACAGCCCCATAAAATAAAACAGTACTAATGAGGCACAGCAGTCCAGGGACAAGGACTGGAAGGCAGGAAGGTACAGGAAAGCTGGCGATAGGGAACTCAAGGTTGAGAAAGGATAGTGTTGACATGCTGTGGGGTTGTTAACCATTTTCATACGGCAATATGTGTACTAACTGTTTAATGAGAAACTATTTATTCTGTAAACCTTTATCTAAAGTACAAAAAGAAAAAAAAGAATTATCTCTGTGAGATCAAATTGACAACAGCAACTCAAAAGGTTTGATGGAAAGCCTAGGGGACAGTGAGTTGAAGATAATGGTGATGGAATAATCTGGAAAAGGATAGTGAGAAGAGCAGCACAACTGGAAGAATGTAATCAATGTCACTGAATTGTACATGTAGAAATTTTTGAAATGGTGTACCTTTGGCTATGTATATTTTCACCAAAAAAAAAAAAAGTCCTCCAAGGTTGAGAAGGGAGAGTGTTGACATGTTGTGGGATTGTTAACCAATGTCATAAAACAATAGGGGTACTGACTGTTTAATGAGAAACTTGTTTGTTCTGTAAACCTTCATCTAAAGTACAATAAAAAAAAATTGAAAAAAAGCACATGCAGCTCCCTTATTTTATGTCTCTTTATTTCTCTTACTTAGTAAAGGTCTATCTGGTCCCTGAGACGACCAAAACACCCTGCCTCTTCTTAGCGCTTTGCACTCAAAAAACCACCTCACTGTTCTACTGGTCCAGAGCAGGGGCTGCAAGACTGATACAGGCAGCACACAAATCTTATTTAGCCTGAACTCTGCTTTTTTTTAAACATTTTAATTACTTGCCAACATTATAATCAAACGATTTTACATAAAATTACATTTTTAGCTTTGTTTAAAAATCATAAGATTTGGCCATGCTGAGCACAAATTTCCATGTGGCAACTATCTGCTGAACTGGGAAGGGACATCTCCTTTCTCCTTTGGTGAAGTTTGCTTCCCCCGGACACCATGATCTCATCATTCCACAAGGTTTCCATCCAAAGCACACTCACTGGTTTCATCTGTTACCTGCTGGCCCTGAAGTCTTTAAACTTCAAATCCAGGGACTTAGAAGTTTTTTCCTAATCATAAAGAGAAGACTTTTCCTCCTATCCCTTAATTTTAGGCTGCATGGCCATGTTTCTCTAACTCTGCCAACATCTTCTCATTTCTCACTCCAACAAGTAATTCAGCTTCCTGTACATCATCATGATTAACATCTAAGTATCATCTATTACCTGAATTACTCCAGGATACTTCCGCAAAGGCATCTTCTGGCCTGGCAAGCTCCTACATGAAACAGCATAATTTCAGGCCACAAAGCACAGACGACTCATCCAAGGACTGATGAAGTCTTCATTTCCAGACTCACTTCTCTTTGAAGATAAATACTCTTCTACATTCCTGAATTTAGATAAGCTAGAACAATGTTTCTCAAACTTTACTGTGCATACAACACATCTGGGGATCTTGTTAAAATACAGACTCTGATTCAGTAGGTCTGGCATGAGGCTGGCAATTCTGCATTTCTAACAAGTTCTCAGGTGATGCTGATGCTGCCAGTCTGTGGGCCAAACTCTGAATAGCAAGGAGCTAGAAGAGTTACAAGGAACCCTGGTGACACAATGGTTAAACGCTCAGCTGCTAACTGAAAGGCCAGAGGTTCGAATCTACCAGCCACTCCATGGGAGAAAAGACTGGCAATCTGCTCCTATAAATATTTACAACCTAGGAAACCCTATGAGGCAGTTCTATCTGTCCTATAGGGTCACTATGAGTTGTAATCAACTCGACGGCACACGACACAGAAGAGTTACAAGAGAAAAAGGACGTTTCTGAGATAGAATTATCTGAATGAATCAGACCTCTAGAACTTGACTCTCTGCCATTAGTTAGTCTTTTGGCATCCTGTGCCAGCTTAATATCTGATTTTATAAATAATAACATTTCATAGTGGTCCATGAGGAAGAAACAGATGGTTACTCCAGTCATTATGCACTGGCTATTGTATATTCACTACATGATCAATACTGAGCATTAGACAGTGGCATCAGCCAAGCTTAAAATAGAGCTGGCAAGAAGACTAATTTGAAAGAAAATAACTAGTGAACCACTTAAAACAGCAGATGATTAAGATCTTAATTGCTATAAAATAGTGATTCTCAAGGGGGTGGCATATCAGCATCTGCGGAGAAGATGTCAAACTAAACACGCTTTTCTCCAATGCTTTCCAGAAGACTATGATACTCACTCTACCCCTACCCTTACTGTCAATCAGTGTCAAGGGAAGCTACATTTACTAATAACCAAAACCAAAAACCAAACCCACTGCCGTCAAGTCGATTCCAACTCATAGCGACCCCACAGGACAGAGTAGAACTGCCCCATAGAGTTTCCAAGGAGTGCCTGGTGGATGTAAACTGTGACCTTTTGGTTAGCAACTGTAGCACTTAAACACTATGCTACCAGGGTTTCCACATTCACTAATAGGAATGTTATATTCTGCAGAAGGGTAGGCTGAGGGGAACAAAAAAAAATGAAAATGTCTATTTTCAACTTTTATACAGAAGGGCAACAGAGAAGAAGGCAGGAAGAGTAAGTAGAATTGGTGGGCATTCCAGATGGGAGGTCCTTCCTGTGGTGAAAGCACTAAAGCAGAGATGAGTCTGGGCTATTTATGGAACACCTGCCTAATTAAAGGAAACCAGAGTGTCCCACTCAGCCCCCCTTCCCTACTCTGAGTGGAAGAAGCATGGAAACTGTCTCCTAAGAACTTAATGACCACCTGTTAAGAATACTGAAGAGTGGTTAAGAGCTTCGCTGCTAACCAAAAAAGGTCAGCAGTCGAATCCACCAGCCACTCCTTGGAGACCCCATAGGGCAGTTAGTTCTACTCTGTCCTATAGGGTCGCTACGAGTCGGAATCGATAGCAACAGGTTTGGTTTTTATTTCTATAAAAGAAGGCTGAACTGGTTTGCCTCTCAGATTCTTCCTAATTGTTTTTCAACTGCTGAACAAAAAAATTCAGTTTTCCTCTGACACTCTAACCTGAATCATTTGCCTTTCCTGCTGTTGACCACAAGGGAGAAGTGAAGAGAATGTGTCTGTGTAAAAATTACTATAAATTTAAGGAAAAGATCCCGAAAACACCACATCAGGTTAAGCATTCTGCTGCTACTCAGCACCCTCATTTTTTGAGACTATTGTCATACGTCTTCTTTTCAACTCTGTCATCGATCATCTCTGTGACTCCTCCATGAGCCCAGTCCAAATCATCCTCATCCCTCTCATGTAGGCAAGTGGTGAATTACACGGCAGGTCTTCCCTGACCACTTCACCCGAAGGAAGTCTGTCACACTCTATTCTCCTCTCTACACTAACAGCAATTATCATATTTTTCAACTACGGTGTTTTTTGTTTTTGTTTTTCATTTTTTACTTAGGAAATAATTCAAATATATAGAAAAGCTCAGAAGTTAATATAACAGTTGTCCATATACCACCACCCAGATTTAACAAATGCTATTATTTTCACCACATTTGCTTTGCAGTTATATATTTATTTATACCTTTGCGGCCTGTCTCTCCCACTAGTCTCTGCTTTTTTCTGGGCAGGGTGATATCTGATTATTAACCTCTTTTATATCCAGTACTTAGTGTAGAGCCTGGCACACATGAGGCTCTCAATATATGTTTGTCAATGAATAATGCATGAATGACTTCTTTCTTAAAACTGAATAATGGCCATGAGTGTAGAAGGGTTATTAGATAAAAGACAATGATCAGATAGTCTCCATCTTATTAAAGTCCAAAAATGAGGAAACAAGTCTTTATTGAAGAATGGATGTTTCAATTTAAATGTGTGCTGTTACCAGATACTGCACATTAGCATGTGTTAGATGAGCATGATACTTAACTTCCCCTTCTCTAGAAGTCCTTTTCCTCTTAACCTAGATAGTGCAGATATCTGTCTAAATACATGGAGATACAGGAGATAAGCTCTCAAGCTCTCTTCTTGCTTGAAGGTGCCAACTCAATGGCTTGAAGCTAGAAAGAATAAAGGGAGGGGAGGGGAGGAAGGAAGGAGAAAGGGAGGAAGAGAGGGAGAGCCTCTGCAGGGAGAATCTAAGACACTAGCAACCAACCAACCAAATAGTTGCCATCAAGTCGATTCTGACTCATGGCGGCCCCATGTGTGTCAGAGTAAAACTGTGCTCCATAGGATTTTCAATGGTTAATTTTTCAGAAGTAGATCACCAGGGCTTTCTTCCAAGGCACCTCTGGGTGGATTCAAACCACCACAGAGTAGAACTGCCCCCATAGGGTTTCCAAGGAGCAGCTGGTGGATTCGAACTGCTGACCTTTTGGTTAGGGGCCATAGGTCTTAACCACTTCACCACCAGGACTCCTTCAGTTAACAGCCAAGCGCATTAACCATTTGCATCACCAGGGACTCCAAAGACCACTGGAGATCATTTATTTTTTTCTAGGTTCGACCAAAGGAGATCTAGATTATGGCCTGAAAGCCTTTGAGTACCAATTCCATTTGTCTGAAACAAAGCCAAGCCTAAGGCAAAAGTATAAGAAGCACTGTCTCCGATTTTCATACTCCTCCACCTCCTTCTCCCTGTACCCACTGTCACCTAGAGTCCTAATGCAGAACCCTAAAAGCCTGGGTTTCTTCCACTATGTTTACCTACATGCTCTCAAATGCCAAGTGTACACCTGCACCCTCTCCTCACCAAAATTCACTGGATCTAAGTTTTACTACTTTGAGCTTTTGTTCTCCCAATGGGTCAATGAAAGATAATATGCTTATTATTTAAAGGACTGTCCATTACTGAGAATATTACATCATTAATCCTTTATTGTCCATGCGGACTTCCACTCTCTAATAAAAAAAAAGTCATAGTCTAAGATTGTGGTAGACTGTTCTATTTGTTAACAATTCTTCCTCCCCACCCTGTCCTTGCCATGGTTTACTGTGGGCAGAGTACATTACTGACATATGCCACTTAATTTAACAGAATTAGTTTCTAACCAGTGTCATGAAGAAACATTTTTAACCTTACTCCACAGATAAAATATTATATAAGCACCTTTCCCCCAAACAGCTAGCATACGTCAGCGTAGAGAAGCAGTCTTATACTTTGCCCGTCACTTTGCACAGTAGACTCATATACTCAGGGACCACAATTTGGCTGTATTCACAGTTTTCACTATTTTCTTTAGTATTTCCTCAGATCAGAAGGCACTACATCTCTCTCTGTGAATTGAGTAACATGTGGATTGGCTTCTAGGTGCAACTTGTATTCTTCACAAAGCCATTACCTTTTTACAGGTACATGAAACTGATGCTGTCTGTCCTGAGCAACTTTTCCAGTTTCATAAACAATGGTTAACCAAAAGAAAAATCTCTTCCTTTACAGCACCGGTTTTCAGTGATAAATGAACAAAGCATCACCAAGAACTTCTCCCTGAACATATGCCAAAAGCTTACTCATTCTCTGCATGACACCAGTGGTTTCATCCAACCATAAAGTGAAATACCTGCTTTGCTCTTCCACACTCTACTCCACTGATACTATGCAACAGCCAACAGTGTCATTTGACAAAGGAATTTTGTCAATAACTTCTGGTTTCTCTCTAAGGACAATGTTTGTCTTTCCAGTTGATTTTCAAAGTGTCTCTTCAATAATATGACTCATACTTATTTTTGCTACAAGGATCTTTTAATGACACTACTAGAGTTTTGGTCTCTCACTTACCTTTAGCAATATAATACATTAATTTTGTAAAGGAAAGCACTATTGTGTGCTTGTTCTGGATAACTTCAATAGTGTAACAGAGAAGCCACTGTGCTTTGTTTGAAAATGACACAAAAACATCCATGGCTTCATGCCACTATTGGACAAAGTTTCACAACAGGCAACAACTGGAGATTGGGAGCAAATGGATGGCAAGTCCAATAAAAAACTTTTGAGATAGTCATTGTCATACTTCATTTGCACTTTTCAATTTCAACTATTATTTGAAACCTTCGTTCCTACAGATTCCCTTGTCTGTACACATACAGACTCACGTTTCATATTTTCAGTGAGATCCAATTCATGTATGTTTATGACATTCTGAACTGCAGCATTTACATTACTATCTTTATCACTATTTTTTTACTTCAATGAACCATTTTTGAGCCACTGATCTATTTTTGTGAATGGGGATATGACTTAAAAATGGCCACAACAAAATATGCTATTTTAACACATAAATAAGCAAATGGCATAAAAATTATATTAATCTTGATGAAGTGCATCATTCACAAAATGTAAGCTTTATACACTGATCAGTGCAGTCCTTGCAATACAAACATATATTTAATACTATAGTGAATCTAAAGAACATAATGGGATTTCTGTTGAAATCATCATTACTCTCATATCTCAAGGCCCTACATGTTCTGCCACACCAACTCTCTGGTCTCATTTCCTCCTCACCCCTGATCATTCCACTCTATCATGATGGTCTTCTTGAGAATCTTCGAACACAGCCCAACAAATTGCCGTCTTTGGTCCTTTGCACTGGCTGTTCCCGCTTCCTGGAACAGTCCCTCAGATATCTGCATGAATATCTTCTCTCACCTCCTTTTATGTCTTTGTTTAATGTCTCTTTCTCCATGAGGCCTACTCTAATCACATTTATCCTGTTCTACTTTTTCTAGTTATCCTGCTTATCTTGTTCTACTCTTTCTTCCAAAGTACTCATCTCCTTCTAACATGCTATATAATTTACTGATTTATTTGGTTTATTATCTGCCTCCCACCCCCGGCTCCCAATAGAAGGAAAACTCTGCAAGGACAGGGGTCTTTGTTTTGTTAATTATTATATCCCCAACAGCTAGATCTGAGACTGATTCACAGAAGATGGTCAATAAATATTACATGAATGAATGATTTTTTTTTACATTTTTCTCTAACTGCCAAACTGTCTATGGATCTTACTTTGAGAATTAAATAGAAATTAGTGAGCCACTAAAAGTTTTTAAAAAAGAAAATGACGCCAACAAATTAGTATTAGAACTAGATAAAATAGGGAGATCAGAAGATGATTTGAAGTTTGAAAAGGATGGAGGCAGAAGGCTTAGTTAAGAAATCAGTCCATGAAAGAGATGATAAAGGCCACAATTTTCCATATGACTAGGCCATCTTAAGTGGTTTATTTATTTCATCCCATAATACACATATCTACAGACATATATGATCAATGTTAGTGTATACATATTCACACGTATACATATATGCATGCACACTTACGAATATATATGTTGAACAAATCTAGAAAAAACAAAGTACAGTTTTCCAACAGATGTGTATTCTTCATACAAAAGCTAATGACTTGGGTCAGAATTAAGGCCTAGTATATACTTGTTGATTGGGCATCCCTTCCAGTTATTACCCCCTTTTACTCTCAAAAGTATCCAGGTTAGACAGAATTTCAGGTTCTCATGGTATCCAGACTTTGGGGAGCCACTGAGGCTGGATGATCCCTGCCCCACCCACCCCCCCAAAAAAAAACTATTTTTCTGAGATAATCTTTAAACCTTAAATCAAAACTATCCCGAGATCATCTTTAAATCAAACAATGGTTTAGCTTAATTAGAAAAAAATGTCTGCCTTGAGCACTGTGCTCTTTTAAAGAATTATCTATATAGGATCAAACTGAACAGCAACTCAAAAGGTTAAATGAGAAGTTTAGGGGCCAGTGAGTTTATGTTAATGGTGGCGGAGTAACTTGGAAAAGGATAGTAAGAATGGTTGCACCACTTGAAGAATGTAACCAATGTCACTGAATTGTATATGTAGAAATTGTTGAATTTGTGTATGTTTTGCTGTGTATATTTTCACCAAAAAATAATAATATTTTGTTCAAAGTATCCAGGTTTGGAAAGAAATATTATATGATCACCCTACTTACATAGGAGTTACATAAGTTTCTTCTTATTCAGGCATGCTGCCCAAATTTTTGAGAACTTCAGTGGAGCCATAATCAATTGTAACACCTACTGGTCAGCGCTGTAAGTGCACTATTTCAAACTGATGATTCTTTAGCAAAAGAGTACAACTACTGCAGAAGTAAGTGCCACAGTTTTCATATATTGAGCTTTGGTACAGAAACCAAGTACTCACCAGGTCAACTACACAATCTCAAATCCTGGTGGGATTTTTCACGTAATAAACAAACACACCAAGTTCTCCTTCTCTGTAAGCCCTCTGTATGAAATGCTGAGGCCCAAATCCAAGACGGAAGTCAGAAGAGACCACAGGAAACAAAGGCCCTTCTTTTATCCTTGTGGCCCAGAGAGCTGGGAAACTAGAAGAATGTGGAGCCAGGTCTTCACAACAGTGCTTGCATTCTGGACTCGCAGAGTATTCAAAACCTAGATCAAATAATACATTATGAAACTTGCATTCACATCTGCAAGAGCCACACATCAGTCAGGCCTGCAGACACGTTTTGTGGAAGCTGCTCTCCCAAATCACAAGAGTTGTCCCAATCTGTGTCAGTCTTAGGTTAATGTTGTTGGGTGCTGTTGGGCCAATCTGACTCATAGTGACCCCATGTGACAGAGCAGAACTGCCCCACAGAGTTCCCTAGGCTGTAATCTTTACAGAAGTAGATCGCCAGGACTTTCCCCCGAGGAGCCACTTGGGGGGTTCTAACCGCCAACCTTGCAGTTAGCAGCCAAGTGTTTAACCGTTGTGCCACCAGGGTAAATGCTGATTTTTACTGTGCATATTGCGCCTGAAGACACAGCTTAGAGCCATAATAGACACACTTTAGGATAAAACTATATTATTTCCTGTATGTGGAAATAGATGACAAGCAATCAATTACATTATTCTTCCATCTTCGTTACTATTTCTATTTTCCTTGTTTCCTATTTAAATTTTTCTTATTCTTTTTATCTTTGCATTTAACAAACGAAAAACTGAAATAAAACAAGACACAAAATATAACGTCAGGAGAAGGGTGATGAAGAAAATAGTAAAGATTTCTTAATACCTAGGGTGACCATATACTTTATCATCCAAACCAGGGCATGTTTAAATGTTGAAAGGAGGCACTTTTGATAATTAAGATAGGTCAATAGAAAGAAACTGGAACTGCTGCAGGCAAACCAGGAGGTCTGGTCACCCTTCTAATCCCTTGCTCACATCCTTATTCAAGAGGAATCCTTGGTACAATGAAGCAATCTCTGGCTGCTGCCTGTTAGGTCAACCAACTTCAAATATGCCTAGTCCTCTCTCTTTCAGCCCCAGACCTGGTATTTGACAACAGCGCTGAAAGATTTTCACTCAACACTGACATTCCCTATCCAACACATCACACAAAAGTAATTCCATTTTTTCCCAGGAAAGCAGGTGGCAAAGCACTAGAATGTGGATCCAGGCCACAGCAAGCACGAGACAAGGAGCCTCTAGTTCCTCTACAAGGCTTATTTCACATACAGACAGAAACCTGGAGAGAGGATACATATATACCAGTCACAGAGTTAACAAGTATTTTGAATGTTAGAGCCTCTCATTAGTGCCAGGGCAAAGACTGAAACTGGACAGAACCCAAAAGCCACCTCTCCTGCAAAGCACATCCATCCAGAACAAATGTCCATAGCATCTGTCCGCAGGTACAGTAACAACTTAGTTTCTTTGCCTTTTGCTAAGATCAGCGCAAAACGCTTTGAAAAATGTAAGATATGCGTCTCTCCCAAGATCATACTGCCCAAATTAAAGAGTCAATGCTTACTTTTTATTTCATGCCTCCTGTTCAGAGGGGCCAAACATTAAACATGTTTTTCATTAAACTTAGTCCTGTGTCTTGTTGAGTATTAATTTATAGGAATATTTTCCCTCAAATTAATAAAGAGGTTATCACCAAAGACACACTGTAAAGAGGGATGACCAACTTTGTCATCTAACTGCAATCTACACCACACTGAGTATCTACAATGTTGGTAGAAGGAAAGCTCCAGCTGGCTTATTTCAAGTGTTTAGAATGACTTTGATTTCTTCACTGATCCACAGTCATTCATAAAGATTCATTGCCAAAGGCTACCCAAAGCTGTGATGGAGGGGAATGATAAAGCAAATGTCTTTGGCTGTTAAATCACTATAGAAGTAGAGCACTGTTTATAACTGAGAATCTGACGACAAATGCTGGGGGTTAAGGAAATACCTGTCAGAGAGATAGTAGAAGAAACCTCATTACATACAAGATCAAATAAGTCCTTCCATCTATGATTCTAAGGAGTCATTTGTATGACACCTTGGCCATACAAGAGCTAAGAAACATAATGTTTTTCCCCTCTTAAAATGTTAGGACAATTTTAAGTTCAAAGACATTTTTGTTATATGCCTGTTTAAAATGCCTCACATAACCACGATTGAGGCTAAACTGTGCCAAACTCATAATCAAGACAAACGGCTGAATGACGTCTTAAATGGTCAAAAGAAGAAATTAATTAATTACAGTGCTTGAATGGTAAGGTTACAATGTCTCCTTTGGGAGGTCAAAATTATGTCTTCCCCGCCCTCAACCCCACCCTGCCCCACCTCCCAACAGTGAAGTGGATAATTTCTGAGGAATACAATGACCCTTTATGCCTGGCTTCTCCTGTCTGCTAGGGATGCCATCTGTCTCCCACTCTATATAAACAATCCCTGCAGGAATCTTCTGATGACCAAACAGATTAACAAATGCCAGATTTTCACGCTACTGACAATATCCTCATCCAGATCAGGCCTCTTTAACAACTCCAAAATTAAGCCTAATAACTGATCTTTGTTTATAGGGAATGCCAGTGTCATTTTAAAGATAACCTCTCAGTACATAAAGCCATCTATTGGGAAGAGAAAAACTGGAGGGGGAAAAAAAACCCTCTCTAGGCAGAAGAAATGAGTCTTTGCGGGAATAACAGAAATAGTAAAAAGGAAATCATAAAATGGACAAATGAACACATGACATTTCATCTGGTCTGAGGACTCCGTTAATTATGCTAAAATATGGTTTCTTCTAAATGACAAATTATAGAAAACTATTCAAGAAAAGGCAAGTTTCACACTCTGACAATAAGAAACCAGAGGTCCCTTGACTCTAGGACAGTGAGCAGATACAGTACCCGGGAAGGCTAAAGGCTCCCGTGAAGTTTGCCTGCAGTCCACCTCTATTTATAATGATCGCCGATGCCGTCCTCCTCGAAGTTTAACATCAATTGAACCCTTGTAACTCAAACTGTGAGCTCTCTGCATTGACTCCAAAGACTTCCAACGCTAAAAAAAAATGTGCCTGGACAGATTTTCTTTAAAAAAAAAAAAAAAAAAAAACAGCAACAACAATAAACGCACGGCTAATAGAGAAGATAAGGCATGAAGAGCAGACCTCTGCAGTTGCACTTCCTCGAAAAACACCTACGTCTAAATCTGCAGCCCGTTTTCTCCAGGCCCCAAGCCCTGCAGAGAATGTTCACAACACACTCGAAATGAAAAAGGAAGTGAAATCGCCTCTCCCTCCAGTGATGCTCAGAAGGACCCAAAAGTCCCAGCTCCCTGGGATAACTAAACCATCAAACACGTCCCAGTGCCTCTCACCCGCGTTTCAGGGCAGCGGAAGCCGAAATGTCAAATGAATGGCCGCGCCGGGGCGCGAAGGAGGAAAACAAAGCCACCTCCAGCTGTCCGGTACCTGCGGCGCCAGGGCCAGGCGCGGGCCGCGCACTCACCTGGGGCTCGGCGCCCGCGGATGCTGGCTGCGGGTACGAACACGCTCGCGGGGCGGGAGGGCGCCCCCGCAGTCGCCTGGGCCAGCGGCCTCGGCGCCCTCCTACCCCTTCTGCGCGCGCCACCGGGAAGAAGGAGGCCAGGGGCGCCGCCGCGCGTCGCACGCAGCTCCCGGCTGCGGCGGCCGCTCCCACGGAGCGGAAAGACTGCGCTGCCGTCCCGCCTACCCTGCACCCGGAGCGGCAAAGAGCGAGACGCGGCCCAAAAGCAGAACGCGCCGACGCGCCCCGTCAACGGCTCTTCCCGCCGCTCTCCGCAGCGGGATGGGTCTCGGCTCGCCTTTGTGCTGCTGGCATTTTCCTTGGCTCCCAACGACACTCGGGACTCCCGAGGCGGCTCCGAGCCACCGCCCACTCCCGAGGTTACGCCGCGCCCCCCGCGAGACCCGCCGATTGTGTCGAGTCAGCAGCGGAGGCGCGCGAAGCCATGTCTCTCGCACGCGCTCGGGAGGGCGCTGGGGGTCCGCGAGCTGTGAGGAGGCGTGCGGCCGAGAGCCGCGGCCCCGAGCGGCTCTGCGGTGTTCGGCTCCACGCCGCTCGCTCTCCAGGCGCCGCCCGCCAGCAGCGCGCCGGCCCGCCTGCCGCTCCCCCTCTCGCCGCTCCTCGCCGGCTCGCCCTGCTTCCCTCCCGCCGCTACCTTCCTCCTGCCCAGCGTGTCCAGCCGCCCTCCCCAGCCCTGGCCCTCGGAGGGCCAAGGGTCCGGCCTCCTCACCCCCAGACACGCCGGCGCTCCTTCCGCTAGACGCCTCGGTGGCATCTGCCAGCTCCGCCCTGCGGGGCGCTGGCCTGGGGGCTTCCTGCACGTTGGGGCCGAGGGGGCGGTTTGGCCGAGGAGAAGCTTTACCGGACGAGAGGGGCAGCCAGACCTGGCCAGCTGGACCTCCCAGAGGAAGGTGTGGGAGGGCAGGGCGCGGGTAGCTGCGCGGAGGACGAGTCTGAGGCTGCGGCGGACCCTGAGCTGCTCTCCTCCTGCGAAGCTGAAGGACGTGAGGGTTCTGGGAGGGCCGCGGAGGATGGAGGAGACCCTCTGAGGTCATGCAGGCAGGAGTGTTCCTAAATCCCCCCAGAAAACTGAATGGGGAGTGTCATGCCTCGGTTTCCCCAACCTCAAGGGCAAGACATCAGAGTATTACTACTCTATGTCACCTATATGGGGCGTGGTCACGATTAAAAAATTGTTCAAAGTCCTCTGGGTTTCGTTGCCTAAAGCGGACACTAAAAATAAGAATTATCCTATTAATATTCTCAGCCTTCTATTTACTTCGTCAGTAGCATCTTCACGAACTTACCTTGTCATACTTAGAGGAAAAAATAGCTGTGAAATGGAAAGATATAGGAAGGATTTACTTGGTTTTACAGTTTAACTATGTCCTTCTAGATGAAGTCCCAAAACACGCTTTCCCCCAAATAATGGATAGCCATTATTTGAGGTTCTGTGAGTATAGTGTTGAATATACCCTTTTTCTGGTAATGGCGATTAGTTTTTCCTTTAGGAACCATCCCTCCCTGTCATCTACAATGAGTCTTTGTGGTTCCAGGACACTGACAACCCCACCACCACCCCCCAGAACTGGCCAGTCTTCACATTTCAGACCACAGTGATTGGTTCAGGGATGGTTATGTTGATCCAAGCACTCAATCTGGGGCTTTGCTGGATCAGTTCAGGGGGACAAAAAAAAAAAAAAAAAAAACCTTTAAACTAGTATAACTAAATTGGAAGGCTATGAGCCAGTGGTAACAAGGGCCACCAATGCATGGGAATGAAGCCAACATCAAGGAAAGGAAAGCTGAGGGAAACAGGGCATCCTAGAGACGTCTTTTGAGCCTGTTGAGGCGCAAAGGTCTGAAGTGAACTCTACCCCTAGAACAAATAAATCCTCCCCATTTTTATTTCCTCAAGTCAGTTTCAATTGTGTTCTGTCACCTGCCACGACAGAGCCCTGACTCATTATTCCCGAGTCTATCCATCCCAGGCTTCATGGCTAGGCTACTCCACAGAACTGATGTATATTCCTCCATGCCCCTCTCTCTGCTGCCCCATCCTAGTCTAGTTCCTACTGGAAGAATGGGCATCCCACATGATATTCTCTTTTTACAACTTGCTCTAGACCTGGTGGAAACCCTGGTGGCATAGTGGTTAAGAGCTACGGCTGCTAACCAAAAGGTCAACAGGTCCAATCCACCAGATGCTCCTTGGAAACTATAGGGCAATGAGTTTTTTTTTCCTAGACCCAGCAACCCCACACCTGCAACCCTTAACCTCCTCTGTTGATTAACCACTATCTTACAATCTATCTTTAAATAAAAAGCATAAATATAGAGCTAATAATATCACTATTGCTGCCCTTAGGTTAAAAAAAAAAAAAACTTTCTCTCCCCTTAAAAGCAGCTCCATCTATCTTTATGGCTTCCTACATATCCAACCATTAAAACTGAGGTTAATGTATCAAAGAAGATTAAAACCAAAGTCATCCTAAAATCTGACTCTCAAGTATGTAAAGGTTAAGTTCTTTCATATCTGACTTCTCATCCTCCATCACCACCACTACCCTATATAGGTCTCTTCACAGGATCCCTGGCTGGTTCTCACCTAGCCTCCTTTTGAACCATTTCTGTAAGAACTCAGTACTTCACAAGCTGGTGAATTCTGCTTTGGAACTGGTATTCCTTAATTTGAGTCAAAATAGTTCTTCTTCCACCTGACAGGACTCGAAGTCCTAAAGACAGACTTGTGAACCACTCGAGTAGTCTCATTTCCAAGATCCCTGTGTGGCCTTTAACTGCTCATCGGTCATATGACAGTGTCCTAGCCCTTCACCATCCTAGTTACCGCCTTTCTATGGATGTACTCAGTCTGGAAACAGTCTTCCTGAAACATGATGTCCAAAGCCAAACCCAAAGACAGAATCCAAGAACCTTAAGCTGTAGGCCCCTTCCAACACCACAAGAGGGGCCCTAGAAATGTGTTCACATGGTCTTATGTGTTTGTAAAAGTGTCAAAACTAATATATTTTAATCTTAAGGACTGACATCTCTTTTCACCCTTAACTTCCCCTCTATCATAATTTCCCTTGTATCCGGAGGCATTGGAGTAGCTGCAGGCATTTTGGGGATCTGGCTAAAGGGAAGTTGAGCTGGAGATAGTTAGTTTGGTTAAAGGGGATAAGTTTATGTGATTCGTAGTCATTTCAGCCCACTGTGACACTGACATCTATTCTCACTACTCGAGGGCCTAGGTCAACTGGATCACTCAGTGTTGTGACAGGAAGATGGAGGGCCAGAGATCATAACACCAGATGAATGCATACTTAAGAACCCAGCAGGTAAGTAAACATGGGTAATACAGTAGACAGTGTTTGAAATGTGTGGATCCAGAAACTAGAACATGGAAAATGCTCCCAAATCTTATTCATTATATGTGAAAGAAATTTAATAGATTTTCTCAAATTTTACAAGAATCCTTAAAATGTATGTGTCTTTCTCAATAATGAGTTGTGGACTGGAAAGAAACTCTTCTGAACCATCAATAACAAAAACAAATTTTGAGCAATTATGCCAGCAGAAAGACTGAAATATCTCTATTAACTATGAAAACTGTGACAAAATCATTTTCATATAAAGCAGAAATCAGAGTATGTAGCCAAAATATGTAGGGAAAAAGTATTATAGAGAGGTAGCAAGCAATTTTTTTAATTA